TTTCTAGGGACATGAGCTCATTAAGGTGAAGTTTTTGCCTCCTAATACCACTCCTCTCCTGCAGCCCATGGACCAGCAGGTTATTTCCAACTTCAAGAAACTGTACACAAAAGCTATGTTTGAAAGGTGCTTTGTAGTGACCTCAGAAACTCAACTGACTCTAAGAGAGTTTTTGGAAAGATCATTTTACCATCCTCAATTGTGTAAACATTATAGGTAAGGCTTGGGAGGAAGTGACTAAGAGGACATTGAACTCTGCTTGGAAAAAACTGTGGCCAGAATGTGTAGACAAAAGGGATTTTGAAGGGTTTGAGGCTAACCCTGAGAATCCTATGCCAGTTGAGGAATCCATTGTGGCACTGGGGAAGTCCTTGGGGTTGGAGGTTAGTGGGGAGGATGTGGAAGAGTTGGTGGTGGAGGACAGTGAAGAACTAACCACTGATGAGCTGCTAGATCATCTTGAACAGCAAGAGGGCAGACCTGAGGAAACTGCTGCGGAGGGGAGAGAGAAATTGAAGAAGTTGCCTACTTCTAAGATAAAGGAAATGTGTGCAAAGTGGCTTGAAGTGCAAACCTTTTTTGATGAAAATCACCCTGACACAGCTACTGCAAGCCGTGTTGGCAACCTGTACACTGACAATGTTGTGAACCACTTTAGGAAAGTCATAAAGGAACGAGAGGTACAGGTATCTATGGACAGATATGTTGTGCGACAGAAGTCCAGTGACTCTGAAGCTGGTCCTAGTGGCATTAAAAGAACAAGGGAAGTAACCCCAGAAAAAGACTTGCTGCCTCAAGTGCTAATGGAAGGGGATTGCCCTTCTAAACACTAGCACCTCTCCCCTCCTCCCATCCCATCAATCATCACCAGATCTTCAATAAAGGTAAGTGTCATGTAACTGTGCATGTAATCTTCAGTTTGTGTGTATTAAAATTAATATTTCATGTGGTAAAAAAAATTTTTTTTTCAATATTTTTGGGTGTCTTGCATGGATTAATTTGATTTCCATTATTTCTTATGGGGAAATTAACTTGACTAACGATAATTTTGACTAACGATGAGCTCTCAGGAACGGATTAATATCGCTGGTTGAGGGTCCACTGTATTCAAATTTCAAAATAGGGTCCAGAATAAACAATGTAGGTATTCCTGGAACTAAACTAACATTTCCTCTGTTCATTAGTTATGTTTTGAGGCTTTACAAATAAATTCCATTTTGATTTTTTATTCACATAATGAATTTTTATTCACACCAAAAAATAGAAGATTTACTGTTATGCAATACTGTAATAATTGTATAAATATCATCACCATATTTGTGAATGCATATTAGACCCACCAGCTGGCGTGGATTAGACGTGTGAGGTCGTTTGTTTACTCTTGAATATCGGCAAAAATTTAACATTTCTGCTACTTTGAGCTCAGTTTCAAGCCATTTCCAGTGCTAAAACCAATCAAAATCATCTCTATCTCTGTAAAATGTCTTCCATTCTTTCAAATGAGACCAAGAAATCACAAATACAACTATAAAAACTATACGAAAAAACACTGCAAAGTCGCTGTTTTAATCGAAAAATCATGATTTCAGTTTTTTCTCTCATTATACACAGTGTGCTGCAGGATCTGTTTTATGTGGTGCACACATACCACATAGATGTATTCTTCATATCTAGGCCCAAATATACCACTCACAGTTTATCAGAGTGAGCTGAGCTCATGACGTAGATCTACGGTTTGGACCCTGAACATAAAGCCGTAGATCTACGGGACTGGACCCTGAAAGGGTTAAATATGTATATTAGAAAGAGAAAATGAAAAGGAAACAACTTGATAACTTTGTTTAAATTTGCTTAGCTCTTACATATTAAAGAAAACAATAAAAAAGTAAAATACACATGCAGTACACTCATTACTTACCTTAAAATGTTTGTATTCCTAATGTAGGGTGAGAGGTGAGTATTTATTGTACAAAGAGGAAGAAGAAGAACAACAAAGAATGGAAGAAGTACAAAAAAAGTTCACAGTAAAGGGGTTAGCTAGTGTGTTCGTCTGTGTGTTTACATTCTCGGTGTCTCTTGTGGCAACTTAATTAAGAAATGATTAAACTCAATGAACTGTGTATGTTGATGGTGATAATAATAATTAATAATAATAATAAATAATAAAATACAGGTTGGCCATCACTAATCCTGTATCTTTGGGACCTGCACTGTGCTGGATTAGTGAGTTTGCCGGATTACAGAGTGGTTAGGTTAGAATACACTTAACCTGTCAATAGAGAGACTTTCTGCTACATTTTCCTCATTTTCATCACTGCTTTCTCCTCCACTGGCTTGCTGCTGTAGATTTACAACCATCTGCACAATTTCTGAGTCAGTACGTATAATGATTTGAGTCAGTATAATGATGAAAATTGAAATTATGCTAACCGAAATTAGTGCCAAATTACTGATGGAACCGGATAACTGATTGCCAGATTAGTGATGGCCGACCTGTATAATTAATAATCACTCTGGAACACTTTAAATGTCACATGTATTTTGTAAAAGTTTGGTAGCTGACATTTAAAGCACTCCAGAGCAATTATTATTAATTATTTAATTATTATTATTACCATCAACATACCTCATTCACTAAGTTTAATCATTTCTTAATTAAGCTGCCACGAGAGACACAGAGAATGTAAACACATGGACGAACACACTAGCTAACCCCTTTATTGTGCATTTCTTTTGTATTTCTTCCATTTTCCTCTTGTTTTTCCTCTTTCAAGTGCTGCTGCACTTCTATTGCGGACCACACAGTATAAGATAGAAGTGCAGCAGCACTTGGAAGAGGAAAATGGAAGAAGTGTACAGTAAAGGGGTAAGCTGGTGTGTTTGTCTGTGTGTTTACATTCTTGTGTCTCTTGTTGCAGCTTAATTAACCCTCTAACTGCAGAAACGTAGATCTATGTTCGCTCGTGAAAAGCTCCGAACATAGATCTACTTTTTTTTTTACATTCTTTCTTAGGGAGAAAATCAAGGTCGGAGCGCTACGCGCACAAACATAGATCTACGTTTGGACAATTTAAGGGTTAAGAAATGAGTAAACTCAGTGAACAAGGTATGTCGATGGTAATAATAATAATAACAATTGCTCTGGAGTGCTTTAAATGTCAGCTACCAAACCTTTTCGAAATATGTATGACATTTAACCCTTTGACTGTCGCAAGCCCTTTTCTGAAACTGTCATTCTATGTCGCAAAATTTTTGGAAAAAAAAAAAAATTCTTATGAAATGATAGAGAATCTTTTCCCGATGATAATGACACCGGAAGTACAAAATTTGATTGAAAACTCACAGAATTGCGTTCCCGCAAAGTTAGCAGTCTCGGCGCTACATATGCATCGGCAATTTTGCCGACTTTGAGCCCTGTTTTTGGCCAATTCCATTGTTCCAGTTGACCAAACTCATAGCTATTTCTTTAGAACTCCATTTTTTCTATCAGTTGAGCACAAGAAACCGCCCATTTACCGATTTGAATTACCCAGTAAAGTGGTCAGAAATTGACAATTTGGCCAATTTCACGAAAATTAAAAAAGATGCCAATTTCAAAATAGGGTCCAGAATAAACAATGTGGACATTCTTGGCACTAAAATAACATATCCTCTGTTCATTAGTCATGTCTCTAGGCCCCTCTTATATTACTATTGCTTTCTATTTTGATCTTTTATTCATACAAAAAATACAAAATTTACTGTTATGCAGACTACTGCATTTTTGTAAAAATGGTATAAATAATATCAGTGCACTAGTGAAAGAATATTAGACTCCCCAGTTGACGTGTATTGCTTACTCCTGAACATTGGTAAAAATTTAACATTTCCGCTAATTTGAGCTCAATTTCAAGGTCGTTTTCATTGTGAAACTAATCAAAATCATCTCTGTTTCTGTAATGTTTTCCATTTTATCATGTGAGACGATGAAAACGAGAATACAAGGATAAATACTATATGAAAATACACTTCAAAGTCGGTGTTTTAATCCAAAAAAATGGTCAGCATTTTTTCCTCATTATGCACTGCATGCTGCAGGATTTTTTTTATATGGTGCACATTGACCACACAGACCCATTCTCTCACATGTGGGCCTACCAGCTTTCTCCTGCTTGATTTGAAGCCGCTAGAATTTTGTTGTTGTTGTTGTTGGTGGTGGTTGGTGGTTGGTGGTTGGTGGTGGTTGGTGGTAGTGGCAGTGGTGGTGGTTGGTGGTGGTGGTTGGTGGCGGTTGGTAGTGGTTGGTGGTGGCGGCGGAGGCGGCGGCGGCGGCGGCGGTTCTTCTTCTTCTTCTTCTTTCAACAAACCAGCCGTATCCCACTGAAGCAGGGTGGCCCAAAAAGAAAAACAAAAGTTTCTCTTTTTAACATTAGTAATATATACAGATGAAGGGGTTACTAGCCCCTTATTATTATTATAATTATTATTACCATCAACATACCTTGTTCACTGCGTGTAATCATTTCTTAAGATGCCACAAAACATCTTCATTTTCCTCTTTTTCCTCTTCCAAGTGCTGCTACACCTCTATCTTGTACAATGGGGTGCACAGTAAAGTACAAATTTGCACAGATATGTAGTCTTGGAGATTTTAAAGGCTAGTGTACTGAGTGGTTGTAGGAAGAAGATTGAGATGCTTGACGCTGAGACACTGCGCTTCCCGTTTCCATGACCCAAGTTCTCGTACAGCATACAATACTGACTCGTCAGAGAGCCCATTGTAACTCTTGAGTTGTCATTAAATGAGTATGTCAGTAAGTGAGGAGAAGCTGTATACATGCCACTCACTGTTGTGCTATCCCCCCTTTGGTCTATATTATGGGTTTTTACTCATTCTGCCTCAAATCATGTTCTTGTCATGCAGTATTTAATTTGAAATTTTCAGATATTTACAAAGATTTATTATAGAGTAAAGTAGAAATAATTCTTACTTAAACGAAGTGAAGCTATGTTTTTAACAGAATGAGAAAGTGATGCTGTGGGACACAATTGAAGGTGAACTGGAGGATAAGATACGTCGTCTTGAGGAAGATCGCAACAACGTTGATGTCACCAGTCAGGTGTGGGCAGAACAGAATCTACACAGAAAGAGACGAAGACATAGACAGGTACAACGCTTAGTTTTATGAAAATATCAGTGATTGTCTTCAGTGATCCAGCTGAGTATTACCTCCATTTGTGATTACCTTACTCATTTGTCATTACTAAACCATTGTTTGTGGTATCTCTTCTTTAATAATTTTGTATGAATTCTTCTTCTTCTTTCAACGTACCAGCCGTATCCCAACGAGGTGGGGTGGCTCAAAAGGAAAAAATGAAAGTTTCTCCTTTCAAATTTAGTAATATATACAGGAGAAGAGGTTACTAGCCCCTTGCTCCCAGCATTTTAGTTGCCTCTTACGACACGTATGGTTACGGAGGAAGAATTCTGTTCCACTTCCCCATGGAGTTTGTATGAATTATTAGCACATTGGCCATTCCCCACCGAGGCAGGGTCACCCAAAAACGAAGAAACACTTTCATTATCATGCACTCCATCACTGTCTTACCGGAGGTGTGCTGACACCACAATTAAAAAAATGTAACATATCTCCACCCCCTCCTTTAGAGCACAGGCACTGTACTTCTCACCTCCAGGACTCAAGTCTAGCTAACCAGTTTCCCTGAATCCCTTCCTAAATATTACTTTGCTTACACTCCAACAGCACATCAAGACATAAAAACCATTTGCCTACACTCACTGCTATCTGACATGCTTATGCATGCTTGCTGGAATTCCAAGCCCCTCATACACAAAACCTCCTTTACCCTTTCTCCCTCCAACCTTTCCTAGGACGACCCCTTCCCAGCTTTCCTTCCACTACAGATTTATACACCCTCCAAGTCATTCTATTTTGTCCCATCCTCTAAATGTCCAAACCATCTCAACAGTACCTCCTCAGGCCTCTGGATAATACCTTTAGAAAACCCACGCCTCCTAATTTCCAAGCTATGGATTCTCTGCTTAATATTCACACCACACATTGCCCTCAGACACAACATCTCCACTGCCTCCATCCTTCCTGTTGCAACATTCATCACCCATGCTTCACACCCATATAAGAGTGTTGGTACCACTATACTCTCATACATTCCCCTTTTTGCTTTCATGGATAACATTCTTTGTCTCCACAGACTCCTCAGTGCACCATTCACTTTTTTTTCCTTATCAGTTCTGTAGTTCACCTCATATTTCATAGACCCATCTTCCAAACATGTTGTATAAATAGTTTTAAAATTTGAAGGGCATTACACATACTTCCTGGAGCTCATTTATCACATTCTTAAAGATGTTCTTCCAATGATCCTTCTTTTTCCATTACTCAGGTGTGATGCTGATTGGTTAAATCCACCCTTTTGAAGGTCGAGATAGAGATTCTTGTTTATGCACAGATTTCGCTAGGTACCACCAGAATCACTTACAAGTTTAAGCACACATGTTCAGTAATGGCAGTAAATATTCATCCAACTGGTGCGTAGAAATTTAAGCCCTTCATTATAATTGACTATATAACACAGGTGTATAATAATTCATACACATAGTGTCCTCCACACTGTGCAGATAACACCTGTGGAACCCCAGCCAGGCACATTTTTCCATTGGGATAATGGGCACTCAGTCACCTATTTGGATTAATGAAATCCATCTCTACACTATAGGATGATAATGCGGGTTATTTGTGTAGATGGAGAGGACTTGACGAGTGTGCAAGAGGCCCGAGAGGGGTCACTTTAAATAGATGATTATTTTCACTAGTTATATCACTAGTCACAGCACACAGATAAGTCCACACAACACTGTAACAACAATCCATCGGTATGTTTCTTGTAGTGCTATATCAGGGGTGAAATAAGTAAGCCTGCTAATAAGCTAGCCTAGAGCTCCCCTCACACACAACTACTTCCCTCAAACACTGTGTGTATATCATCATAGCAGAAAAGGAAAATGATACTGATAGCTAGAATCTTCAAAACAAGAGAGAGAGATTGAGCCACTGATGACACTTTAGGTGCCTTGTTTTCTCCAGGCTGGAATATTGCTCTTTATGAACAGCTCCTTTTAAGGAAGAGCTGGGGAATATACAGAACACCTTCACTTCTTGTATATACAGTACGACCCCCATATCCACGGGGGATACATTCCAAGACCTACTGCGGATACCCAAAACAGCAGATAGTAGTGAACCCTATACGTATTTAACCCTTTCAGAGTTTCGGCCGTACTAGTACGGCTTACGTGCCAGGGTTTTTGACGTACTAGTACGCATAAATTCTAGCGCCTTCAAATCTCGCAGGAAAAGGCTGGTAGGCCTAGATGTGAGAGAATGGGTGTGTGTGGTCGATGTGTGCAGTAGAAAAAAATCTGGGACCCAGTGGCGCATTGTGGGAACGCCATTTTAGTAGACCTTGTTCACCATGCCTCGCGGTAAGAAGCTCCTCAGTCCTCGGCGAATTGGGACACTTTTTTTCTCCAGTGACAGTTCTAATACAGATGGAAGTGCCAGTGAAGATGAGTTTCAAGGTTTTGGTGAGGCTGTGACTGAAACTAATGACCATAATATCGGTAATAGTGAGGAAAACCCAGATGACCCTCAGCCTTCCACCTCTGCTGCTGGACCATCTTGTTCATGTTCAGTTGTACCAGAATCAAAGAGGAAACTCCTATTTTCCCAAATCCCGGACTCAGATGTGAGCATTCGTGATGATAGTGATAGTGAATATGAACTACAAGCTCTTGAAACCAGTTCCAGTAGTGATAGTGAAGTGGAATATTCTCAGTGAAGCGTTAGTATATACGACGATATATGCGATCTGGTAGTGTGCCATATGCTATTCCAAGGGGAAGGAGTACATCTCGGAGTATATCCCATGGCTGTACAACAGGAACAGACAGTGAAAATGATGATGATAGTGTTGCAATTGGGATGGAAAATGTGCATGGTGGTGGTAGTGGTGGTGTCGGCCGTGAGGCACCAGCAGTGGGCCATGCTGCCACCCATGCCGCTGCCTCAGATGATCTACAACAAAGGCGACCATCCCCCACCCACCCACCACACCAGCCTCCACAACCACAACCACCTGTCACTGTCCAGTACCCACCAGCAGACTGCACCTGGGATTGACAGGAAGCTGTCAATTTGTTCCAAATCCCCACCAGTTTGATAAAAGCCAAAGTGAAATATGGCCATGTTGTACACTGGGGAACAGTGCCACTGAACTGGAATGTTTCGAGTTATTCTTTGGCGAACTCCTGATGGAAATTATTGTCAGGGAGAGCAACAGACACTACGAGTACACCATGGCAATTACAATACAGTGGACCCTCGCCTAATGCTATTAATCCATTCCTGAGAGCTCAATGTTAGGCGAATTAATTTTCCCCATAAGAAATAATGGAAATCAAATTAATCCATTCCTGACACCCCAAAGTATGAACAAAAAAAAATTTTTACCGCATGAAATATTAATTTTAATACACACAAACTGAAGAAGACATGCACAGTTACATGACACTTACCTTTATTGAAGATCTGGTGATGATTGATGGGATGGGAGGAGGGGAGACTGTGGATGGTGTTAATGTTTAGAAGGGGAATCCCCTTCCATTAGGACTTGAGGTGGCAAGTCCTTTTCCGGGGTTACTTCCCTTCTTCTTTTAATGCCACTAGGACCAGCTTGAGAGTCACTGGACCTCTGTCGCACAACATATCTGTCCATAGAGGCCTGTACCTCCTGTTCCTTTATGACATTCCTGAAGTGTTTCACAACATTGTCAGTGTGATAGTCACCAGCACGGCTTGCAATAGCTGTGTGAGGGTGATTTTCATCAAAAAAGGTTTGCACTTTAAACCACATTGCACACATTTCCTTAATCTTTGAAGTAGGCAGCTTCTTCAATTTCTCTATCCCCTCCTCCGAAGCAGTTTCCTCAGGTGTGTCCTCTTGCTGTTGAAAATGATCTAGAAGCTCATCAGTGGTTAGTTCTTCATTGTCCTCCTCCAACAACTCTTCCACATCCTCCCCACTAACCTTCAACCCCAAGGATTTTCCCAATGCCACAATGCATTCCTCAGCTGGCATAGGATTCCCAGGGTTAGCCTCAAACCCTTCAAAATCCCTTTTGTCTACACATTCTGGCCACAGTTTCTTCCAAGCAGAGTTCAAGGTCCTCTAGTCACTTCCTTGCAAGATTTACCTATAATGTTTACATAATTGAGGATACTAAAGTGATCTCGCCAAAACTCTCTTAGAGTCAATTGAGTTTCTGAGGTCACACAAAGCCCCTTTAAACAATTTTTGTTCATTTCTTGAAGTTGGAAATGACCTGTTTGGTCCATGGGCTGCAGGAGAGAGGGGATTGGAGGAAAAAACTTGCCCTTTAATGAAGTCATTTCCGCAAAAAGCGCTCTGCCAAAGTCGGGAAAAGGATGCCCGGACATTGTCTAAAAAGGACACTTTAAGTCTAATTTCTTTTCATTGGGTATTTTTTCACGTGGGGGCAAATGCAGGGGGTGAAAACCATCGAAAAAGTCCTTGGACCTTGCCTTTGTTTGCCCTCCACACCCAAAAACCACAAATTCCCTTTTGAGGAATTTGTTTTCCTGAACACTCTGGGGTTTAGAGTGAACACCAATAAAAGGCTTCACTTTGAAATCCCCACTAGCTTTGGGACACATCAACAGAGTAAGCCTGTTTTTCATGGCTTTGTCCGGGGGGGCCCTTTTTCCTTGGTATGTAGGCCTGTTTGGGCATTTTTTCCAAAAACAGGCCTGTTTTGTCACAATTAAACACTTGTTCAGGTTTCAGTCCTTCACTCTCTATGTACCCCCTTAAATTTTCCTGCACATATTTTTCAGCTGCTTTGGGGCCCAAAACTGGCAGGTCACCATGCCTATCACACTATTTTGCCACTACGCCTTTTAAAACCTCTAAAAACCAAACCCTTTGTGGCCTTAAATTCCTCACATCACCCTAGTTGTAAACCCTGGCCAGCTCGGAACAGCACTCCATTTTATATTAGCAATGATTCTTTCTTTTTTTTTTTTTTTTTCAACCAGTCGGGATTCCC